ACAAGGAGCATGCACAACATTGATTGTGTACGTAAGGAGTACTGACTCAGATATAAGGAGCATGCACAACCTTAATGGTGTACGTAAGGAGACGGCAACAGATTCAAGGAGTATGCAAAACCTAAATGGTGTACGTAAGGAGTACTACAATAGATGCAAGGAGCAAGCAAAACCTAGATGGTGTACGTAGGGAGTACTGAAACAGGTGTAAAATGAACGCAAAACCTAAATAGTGTATGTAGGGAGTACTGAAACAGATGCTAGGAGCATGCAAAACTTAAATAGTGTACGTAGGGAGTACTGAAACAGATACAAGGCGCATGCAGAACCTAAATGGTGTACGTAGGGAGTACTGAAACAGATGCAAGGAGTAGGCTTACGGAAAACAAAAATGTATATTTTTTTCTTCCCGACATATACCCATTCAAAACATGGATATGAAGGAACATTGTCAAGGATTCTATCACATGGTTCACATTTTTATTGTCATTTTTTTGGCGTTATAGGTGATGTATACAAATGATAACACATAGAGTGGTTACACTTAAAGGAATTGACACGTGTGGTTTGTACAATCATGTACTTATACTCCACCTTTTCACCTTTTTGGCCAATGAAATGTTCAGGTCTACCGGTAACAATTTTATTGTCCCTCTTATTACATGGAATTACTATATGTACATGGTAAAGATAAATGCTCACTGTCATATCAGATATAAACATTTTGTTCTAGGAAGTGCATAAGAGATGTGTATTCAGATAGTCTGCATTAGAAATAAACATCAATTAATTAACCATAACAAACTATTATAACTGCCTCTACATTTATTCGGGAATTTCCCATAGTAGCGAATTATATAGATATTAACTAAAGTAGAAGTGTAACTTATTCAGGTCACGTGATTCAGGTACATATGTACACCTAGGAATTATTATCCTCCTTTGATTTTTGCATTTTTTAACTAGGCCAAATATTATAAATTAATTTCTTTTTATATATATAAATCAACCCACTAACAGAAGTAAACAGAAGAATAAAAAAACACATAGAGGTAAACAACAGTTCTTAAACAATAGAATGCCATCCTTTTCATTATCGACATATCGCTATATATTAGATACTCCAAAGTATGTGAAATGTTGTGCTTCTACGCCAATGTGATTAGCTGATTGAATTTCTTCTTGCTATCCTTTGAACACCAATTACTACATTATTTTGTAAATTGTTCGTAGGTAATCTCTTACATATATTCAAAGAAATATATCAGTCTTTTCGTATTTTAAGTAGCTTCATTGTAATATGGTTCTAATGGTGAAGGTTTGTATTCTAAGTAGCTTCATTGTAATATGGTTCTAATGGTGAAGGTTTGTATTCTAAGTAGCTACATTGTAATATGGATCCAATGGTGAAGGTTGGTATTCTAAGTATCTACATTGTAATATGGTTCCAATGGCGAAGGTTTGTATTCTGAGTAGCTACATTGTAATATGGTTCTAATGGTGAAGGTTTGTATTCTGAGTAGCTACATTGTAATATGGTTCTAATGGTGAAGGTTTGTATTCTAAGTATCTACATTGTAATATGGTTCCAATGGCGAAGGTTTGTATTCTGAGTAGCTACATTGTAATATGGTTCTAATGGTGAAGGTTTGTATTCTGAGTAGCTACATTGTAATATGGTTCTAATGGTGAAGGTTTGTATTCTAAGTATCTACATTGTAATATGGTTCCAATGGCGAAGGTTTGTATTCTAAGTAGCTACATTGTAATATGGATCCAATGGTGAAGGTTGGTATTCTAAGTATCTACATTGTAATATGGTTCCAATGGCGACGGTTTGTATTCTAAGTATCTACATTGTAATATGAATCAATGGCGAAGGTTACCGACTGTATTGTATAATTATCATATACATCAAAGTTAACAGCGGTGAGCAATATATCTTCAAGTATGCGCCTGTACCTTGTCACAATTTTAAACATAGAACACCGATTTTAAATTTTCAAGTGTTGATATATGGTGCCAGTCTTTTGATAATTTTGAGATTTCCGTCTAATGAATACACATATTTGTTTCTTAGCAGCTTTTGTTATACTGCGACGAATAACTGTTGTGTTATTATTTCTTTCCCCTTTTAATCAGCTTCTATTTTGGACATATTTACTGCTAACCGTTTGGAAGTGTCGGAGTTAATCCCTGGACTTTTTGGTATAATGTTCGCCTTGCCAAATCTTAAGTTTTCTGTTTCTTTTGTGAACTGTTTTTTTTTTGGTTTGTTTGTTTTATCGTGATTTTTCTTTTTCTGGCGATTTTGTTTTCAATTTTTCTCAAGGTCTTGATTGCCTCCTTGGTACCTCTCCTTTATTGAAAACATGTTACGCGGTTTTCTCTATAGTTTATGTGTATATATAAAATAATATCGGGTTGGTTGTTGTTTGTTGAACGTCCAGTGGCAAATATTTCATGCATATATATTCAAAATGAAAACAATTTTACAATTAATACAGAAGGAAGGTTCTGTTAAAAAAGTCCACGGTGATATAAACCAAAGGGACGGGAAACTTGATGCCACTGGAAAATGAGTGCATAATGAATGGGAGCAGCCATTTTGCTTTACAATTGGTCACCTACGAACCGTTTAGCTCAAGGAGTTGTCGAAATGGATCGACAGCGTAAATAAAGTATGGGACGTTCTGTACACTATGCGTTGAATAAAAAGCCCTGATAACGACCAGATGGCCCTGCGTATTTCTTCATTTCGCAAAGCCAAAAGTCCATCCCCATTTTTTTCAATAGTCTAACTGCTGATGTACCTATAATAATTTAACATATATATATATATATCGGTATATTGTCGTCATATTTAAATGAGGGTGTGGATGGGGGTTTACGGAATAGAGAATAATGGGCAAAAAAATATAAAGGATAGAGAAAAATGGACCAAAAAAATAAAGAATAGAGAATAATGGGCAAAAATTATAACGAATAGAGAACAATGGCCTAAAACATTAAAAAATACAGAAATGAAGAACACACCCTTGCTCCTTCAAACTACATAATAAACACATAAAACTCACATGAATGATCCCTAGTTTCTCAACGTCCATTGACAGATATTCCATTCAATAGATGACACCAAGCGTCCTACAATCATATACATGATAAAAAAAGGTCTGAATACAGAGATCTGCTAGTTGGTTTCTGTTATTTCAACGTCCAGTGGCAAATATAAAACGGTTCTTTCATCATAAATAACCAATCAAATGTTACCATAGTACTGCCGAGTCAAAAAAGAAATACTTTCAAAGTATTACACGTATCTATCATACATATATATATTAAAGTGTAAGATTTTAAGGGCAGATCCAAGGTTCACGCGCTACAACCCCCTCCCCCTTTTCCCCCGGAAAACGTCATTGTGTCTAAAAGTAAATCTTCTTGTCATTGAGATACTGTTTAAATAGTGTCGTATTGCTGTGTATATGTTTTCTGACGATAATGAAATATTCTAAATTTGGCACCAATTGTTAACACACTATTTTCAATATAAAATAAGGAGATGTGGTTTGATACCCAATGAGACAACTATCCAACATATTCCAAATAACGTGGATATAAGCAATTATAGGTAACAATGAGCAAAACCCTTTCCGTATAGTCAGCTATACAAGGTATCGACACGACAATATGTGAAATAATTCAAACAAAAAAAACAACGGCCTGATTTATGACAAAACAAAAAGCGAAAGGTACAACAAACAGCAACCAACGACAACCACTGAATAACAGGCTTGGGACAGGCACTTTAATAACGTGCCTGGGTTAAACATGTGTGTGGGCACTCAACCCTCCCATTGACCTGGGACAATGGGGTAAACAATAAAATAACAAAAATACCGAACTCCAAGGAAAAATTCAAATCGGAAAGTCCCTTATAAAATGGCAATTTCAAATGCTCAAACACATCAAAAGAATGGAAAACAACTGTCATATTCCTGACTTGGTACAGGCATTTCCTAATGTAGAAAATGGTGGATTAAACCTGGTTTTATAGCTAGTTAAACCTCTCACTTGTATGCCAGTCTCATAAAATTCCATTATATTGACAACAATGTGTGAACAAACAAACAGATATAATAGGTAAAATATAAAAAATAGGGGTAACAATACGACATAAGAACAAACTGTAAAATCAGTTGGAAATGGCTTTAAATTTATCTAAATGTATGTGTACATACTGATAAATGAATAAAAATAATAAACGTGTTTTACGATATCGCTGGTTATCAATGAATAATGATATATAACATTAAGACATTTCGTCAAAACAAAACAAAACCCCTAACAACTAATCAAAGCTTTATTTATGCACGAACGAAATAGATTCCTTATTGTCTAATGAGTCCGTATCTATCATTGCAAAAAAACAATATCTGTATTTGTATGCCAGTACTGAAGTAATGATGCACTGGGTATTGGTGTCAATAACCTTTAAAGGTGTATACCAAATTTGCTACAAATGATGTCCATTTTGATGAAATAAGCTTGAGTTATGCTAGAGGCTTACATGTATGTATTTGAAAATCCAAAATCTAATACAAACACAATCTTCCAATTTTAATTTGTGGACCAATGAACCATTTTTAATATTAAGGCCAACTTCTGGTGTATTTATCTTATTCATAAAACCCCTAAAACATCCTTTTGTTACTCAAATACTAAGGAAGTACATTTTGGAATACTGATGACATTCTTTACATGTGACAGTACAAAGAAAAAACAAACTATAAACAATTCTAACATTTTGAGAGTGATACAAGGACGTTCCGAAGGAAGACCTTGTCAATATTTATTCTTTCTCTGTGCTAAGTAGATCTGCGATGCGGTTGGTTGAGTTAGGTGACAGGCGCGACGCCATTAATTATAATATTGTCATATTGTCTACCTGGTTTGTATATATATAGGGAATCAGGTAAAGAATATATACACATTAGATTTCGGACTGTTGAAGAGACAACTCTTAATTTTTTGAAAAATAATCATTTGTTGTGGAATCGAATTCTGTTTTGACTGTTTTTGGGAAATATATTTTGATAATTGGAAAAGAATAAAAATGAGTTTTCGTTCTTTACAAACAGATCGTGAACACTCTACAGAAAATGTTCAGCTTCACAGGCAGCTGTGTAGACAGAGGTCAAATTCTACTCCAACTTTGTGTAATGTGGCATCTGGAGACGTTAATGCAAAAGACAGCAAAGGTCGTACGTTGTTGTATTATGCTGCTAAGTACGGACAGACGGAAATAGCAAGATCGTTGTTAGAAGCTGGATGTGATCCTAATATTACTGACTGTAACAAAAGCACTGCTCTCCATGAAGCCACTGATGGTTCTCACCTTGATGTGATCAAGTTACTTATCAAAAGTGGTAAGTGTTTAATTGATAAGAGAGCATAACAGATTATGCTTAAAATTCATTTGCAAAAAAAAAAAAAAAAATAATAATAAAAGTAAACAAAACAAACGAAAAATCAGGACGCTTTGGGCAAGTAAATATGCTTAATTCTTTTCACATTGAGTAAAAAGATATTTCATATATTTCCTTATTAATTTATTGTAATAATAATTTACATTTATTATAAGTTTACTAATTTATGATTTTCTTTCGAGCTACAATTTATTTACTGTTTTAAAAAATATATACAATATACATTAATGTTATTTGTTTTCACGCATTTTTTTATAGTCTTGATAACTATAAATTCTCTATATCTAATGTGTTGGTATACCATTTGAATTAGTCAATTTATTACAATACACTAAGCAACAATTCCTTCTCTGAGAAAAAAACCGCCTACATTTAAATAAGATTATGAAAAATGTATCTCCGGGTGCGGGAATTTCTCGCTGCATTGAAGACCTGTTGGTGACCTTCTGCTGTTGTCTGTTCTATGGTCGGGTTGTTGTCTCTTTGACACATTCCCCATTTCCATTCTCAATTTTATCTTACAATTTATGAGAACATAACTCCCACATTTAAAATAGATTATAAACATCATATCTTATAATTTCACAACACCTACATGCACATTAAAATGAGATTGTAAATTGAATATCTTACAATTTCTTTTTTTAGAATGTGATTTGAATATTAAAAATCTACAAGGACAGACGGCATTGATGAGAGCTGTGTTGTTTGACGATATTGCAACTGTAAAGACTCTCCACAAAGCAGGTATGTAAACACTATGTAAGGAAAATAATATAGTTAGTATTACAAATTAAACATAAACACTGATCTCTTGACAGTGCCAAGCGTACGAAAATAACAAGAAATATGTGAATCGTGAGCATTTGTTAAATTTGATATACGCTGCAGAAAAAAACCAATGAAACTCGTTTGAATTGTTTTTAGCATTTGTTCATGTAGGGGCGCCTTTTATAGACGACTATATGGTATGGGCTTTTTCTCATTGTTGAAGGCCGTGCGTTAACATATACATGTTGCAATTGTTTATGTACCACATTTGAACACTGGTGAATGGTTGTCTCATTGAGAATCATAACACATCTCCTAATTTGAAATCATTTTGAAATACATGTAGGTTTAGTACTAAATTAATTTGAAAGTTATTGAATACTAAATCGACTTCCTTAGAAATGACCAAATTAAACCCTATTATTTCTATTTCATCTTTTCCTCTGAAAAAAAATCCCCTCAAATTGTCAAAAATTTACTTTGATATATGAATGTAATTAAAATTCTGTGCAACATTGTTGACCATGACGTATATCAGAATCTTGTGACTTTAACCATATAAAATGAAATATGATGTGCAACAAGGTCGCCCTATTCGTCACCACAATTATGACATAAATAATAATTTGTCCATTACAGCTTGAGGGATTTACATGTAATAATTAATTTTATTGTCTAACATTAGCAGATCGTGTAAATGTTGAACGATATAACGGTGTAGGTGTGTGCTATTGTAGTTGTCACACTGACCTGATCTAATCATAATTATATAAGCCATTTACACGGTTTCGGGCGGACTCCTTTTCATGTTAATATTCACTACACATTACGAAGGAAACAAATATACATTTTTCCTTTTAAACAAATAAATAGATAAAAAGATTATTCTAAAAGTATTATCAATAAAAAAAATAAATATTTGAATGTTTTTTTTTTTACAGGTGCAAATGTTGACGAAACAGACTGTACAGGAAAAACAGCTTTACTTATTGGACTCCAAGAAGGTAGAGAAAAATCCTGTGTATATCTCATAAAGCATGGATGTGAGGTGAACATCGTGGATAAATTAGGACAAACAGCTCTATATCTTGCCACACACACAACTGTAAAATGTTCACCAAGTGTGTGTAAAAAACTGATCAGCGCTGGATATAGACTTGATAATGATTCCGAGTGGTTACCTAAAGACTTACTGAAAGGTCTTACTGAACGAGGAAGGAATATTGTTGGTCGTTTCTTAAGTATTTTCAATAAGAAGAAACAACCGTGTAATCTAGACTTTGTTCCGGAGGAAAGTGAGGAATTGGAATTTCCAAACTTTCGAATATTAGACATCTGCACTTGAATACAGTTTCATTGAACATGTTGAAAGGAAGAAAGTGCGTAAGACTAATTTTATCTTGCCGATATGTACATTTCGATTACCTTATTTATGATTTTGAATGTGAAGCAATGGTCAATGAAATCCAAGACTCTAATATTGTATTTATATAATAAGAAATTCAGTATTATATTTAAACTATTTATTTGACAAATTGATTACATGTACATGTATGTGTATACTCTATACATTGTGAAATAAATTATTATTAAAAAATAGTTTTTATACAAGGTATTCTATAGTAACTAACCCATACTAATTAAAGCTAATGACATTTTTGTCTATTGAGAGTCTGAAATTGATCAATATTTGGAAACAAAAACAATATCGGATTCGTTTGAAATATATTAAATCAAACAAAAACATTTGAAAAAAAAACAACAAAAAAAAAAAAAACATCTCTGTCTAGTATTAAATAGGAATACAGAGAATAACATGCCGCTCAATTCAATTTGTAAAATTAATTCCTGCTTCACCAATATTAGCACATATAACATTTGCAAATTCAGTAGTATGCTTAATACTATAATATAAATGGTAAAAGACAAAATTGGTCCATCAACAACATATACCATTACATGATCCCCTTTCTATGTACAAATTCATCAAAGATACTAGGCTTATTTTGTACGCCAGACGCGCATTTCGTCTACATAAGACTCGTCAGTGACGCTCGATTCAAACCAGTTGGAAACTAAACCAAAATAAAATGGGATATAGGTACATGATCGTTTCGAAATTTGGATTCTTGTAACATAAGCAATGATGTTGCTTTTTCAGTAAAAAAAAAAGATGATATGGAGTTCATTTAGACTGTAAATTCAGAAATTGTTGCGATTTTTTTATTCTTGCGAAAGAGAACGAGGTTAGATTCGCAAATATTAAATTTCGCATTGGGAATGTGTAAAAGAGACAACAACCCGACCAAAGAGCAGAAGACTACCCAAAGCCACCAATGGGTCTTCAACACAGTGAAAAAATCCAACAATCGGAGGCGGGCTTCAGCTGGCCCCTAAACAAAAATGTGTTCTAGTTCAGTAAAAATGGACGTCACACTAAACTCCAAAACATATAAATGCACTAAAATTTTAAAAAAACATACAAGACTAGCAAAGGCCAGAGGCTCTCGTCATGTATAGGCAGTATTTTCTCAATAATTGATTGCTCATGTTTATCAGTCGTTGTTCAACAATTGAAATAATAAATGCTCGCAAAGATTTCTGAATGTAGGATACTTGGTATTATTGGTCGCTGTATACTACCACAGCTTATGTAGCAAGTGAGTTGATTATTTTCAACAAAAACGCCATTTGATCAAAAAGGAGAAAGGGAGGAAGAATATTAAATTCAAGGCGAAAGAAAATGAAATTTGCAACATGAATGAAGATATCTTTTGGAGAACTTTTATATACCATTCCAAAGTCTAAACGAAAAGTAGAATCTGACCTTTGTCTACTACCTATATAAATAGAAAAAAAAAGAAACATCTTAGCCAATTAGGCTTACATGTAACAGTCTTCCATAATGCATCTATTATAGCTGAATCTATCAATTTACCACACATTTACTGGTCATGTTCAAATCTTACCATCAAATGTGTGATCATGTATGTGTCTTTAATTTAGAATCCAAAACCGTCCCCTCATAATTATATACGTTAGGTTGCATGTCACCATTAATCAAATACTACTTCGAAAAAAAAAACAACCATTATTGTAAGAATTTTTATCTGTCGTCTAATGTTACTTATAGACAATTGAGCTATCACATTACGGCGATCTTTTCTTGTTTTATTGTCATGAAATGATCCTCCTACACCTCATGATTACAGGATTTTGTCGTCGCCATTACATCTATAGTATGTCTTATTCCCTAATGCAGTAGTGTGAATGATTTGGGACTTGCACGTTTGTCGTGACAGTCTCCTTGTATTCTTCTAATTATCTGGGTCAGAATAAAATTGATAAAAATCTCACTGATAATAATTTCAAAATGTCATCAATTTAATGTATTTTAACAAATATGAAGAGAACAAACGTTATAAGCATAAATAAGAAGATGTGCTATGAGTGCCAATGAGACAACTCTCCATACAAGTCTCAATGTATAAAAAGTTAACAATTACAGGTCAAAGTACGGCCTTCAACATGGAGCCTTGGCTCACACCAAACAGCAAGCTATAAAGGGCCCAAAATGACCTGTGTAAAACAATACATATTTGTTATCATATGCAAATATAGCTTCAAATTATCGACGCCATCAGTGATACATATACCTTTAAAACAGTTCTAAAAGCAATAAAAATAAAATTGAGAATGGAAATGGGGAATGTGTCAAAGAGACAACAACCCGACCATAGAACAGACAACAGCAGAAGGTCACCAACAGGTCTTCAATGCAGCGAGAAATTCCCGCACCCGGAGGCGTCCTTCAGCTGGCCCCTAAACAAATATATATACTAGTTCAGTGATAATAAAAGGGTTATTGCATTATTATTCGTGACAACTATCCCCCATTGAATATCTTGCACTCAGAAGTTCTTGCAATATAAAGATATACCCATGACAATATTTACTAACAATCATGCAGTTCCTTTATAATAGCCATTGCATTGTCTAAATATTAAAAATCAAATGAGCAGAAATAGAACTTGCACCTTTTATTTGACTATAACCATTAAACTTGTCGGATTGATTTGAAATTTGGTATGCTGGTTCGATATAGAATAAGCTTAATGCATGTTATTTTTTGGGGCATTTTATTGAAGAATAAGGGTCTAATAGGCCCAAGACCACAATTAATGACCCTACTTTTCGTTGTCCACGAATATAGTTCCCTTTAATTAAAGTGTATTTTTTCTTTATTTTTTCTTTGCCTTTCTCTTTCATTTCTTAGTTTTTATGGGGTGGAAATGAAAGAGAGGTGAAATAAATTTTTTGACTATAAATATGCATGGTTAAAACTATAAAATCTTTGCACAAAAGCAGCACTCACATTTTATATAACATTTTAAAAATAATTTCTTAGTTACTATTTTGCACTGATGAAATTAGGTTGTGTCATGGTAACCCGAATTAGCATTGCTAACCTGCCTACGACTGGATATTACTCTTGATGCGAAATTAGAAGTGTAGTAACATAAACAAAAGAAGTTAGTGCAATGTTTAGTGTGAACATTGAGAGCTCATTGGATCGTATTTTTCTACAATGAGCCAATGAAATACACTCAAACAAATGGCTAATTATTTATATCTTTTGCAATGTATTAGCTGTCAATTAGATGTCATAAAAGTGTGATTAAAATGTCGAATTATATCCAATATATAACGGTATATATTCTAATTCTATCGATTTTAAAGTTATGTGTAATAGTACTGAATACTTGACAATTATTTCCAAATTTTCTAGAAGCACAATATATTTTAAATAATTATTGAAAAGTTTTTTAAAATGCCTCTTTTCTGGTAGACAAAAATATAATTCTTAGTTTCATGTGTTTATACGAATGTTCACGTTGGAAAAAGGGAACATAGTTTATCTTTTTAATATTTGCACTCGTGCTACAATTTATGAGTGCATATCTTTCTAACACAAACGATGCAAACGGCTAAGCGCGCACATGTTTTGATCATTTGTTTCTAACATACGTTTGCAAAGTTTACATAAACTTTGACAAACTATGCACTCGCTAAAAGTGCGTCTACAGTTTGTCGTTCATCGTTTGTTAGTACAAACGCTACATTTGTTTCTAACTTCAACCTTGAATTTAAGTAAAATTATAAGAAAACATTGGAACAATCTGCAAAAAGACCAACAATGCAGTGAAATCTTAGCGCTAGTGCCTATTATATCGTATAAACGTAACAAAAATATAAAAGAATAACTTGCTAAATCAAGGCAATAGTTGGGAGACTTTTGAAAAGGGACCAATGCTTTAACAGTCTAAGCAAAAAAACCCGAAACACTATTAGTAATAATCTTAATTATAGGCAACAAACTTTCATACATATGAAATAGAAAAAACGGTGTAAAGTCTTGAGATTTATTACTATGTTGGTTGAAGGAACCGCATTTAATTATAGCCGCGTAATAAGTCTGTTTACCAACAACATGTGCATGCATTATTGGAAGTTAAAAACAGGGTCAGTAAACACTGATTAAACGATGTATTTGTTTCTACTTTTGTAGCGTTTAGCAAACGATAACAAACGCCACACAACGTTTACAAAATTTAGGTTAGAAAGAAATGCACTCTATGTCTTTCAATTCTATACCATTTAAAGTATCTGAGTATTTTACGAGTTTGTTGTATACATCTTATTTTTCTTTGTTAACTACATGTCATCACGTTACCTAACGTTCAGTGCCAATGTATCAAGCTGAGTCAGGACGAGAACAATTCAAAATTCACCAAGGCTAGAATTAGGTTCTACAAAGTGTGTCGACAGGTAGAAAAAACGGGGAATTCAGGATACCACTGGAAACATGTGGAATTTTGATAAGGACAGAAATGTTGCATTACAGGCGGCATAAGGCAACTCAAAGAGTTGTTGCAAGGTTTTCTTTTTTTTTTTTATTAGCTTTTGGGTTTCTTGTATATTTTACATTTACATCACTATACACTAGGTATTGGATTTATGTTCCTAGTTCAAACGGACGTAACTGTGTATTCATACATCCAGCACGGCCATATCCGGACGGCCCTCTTGATCACGCATCTTACTGCGGAATTGGTTAATTCTAGGTGACATTATCAACCATGGTGCCCAATGAAAATATATTACTAGTATATGTGCGAAAACTAAAACTAAAATTTGATTTGACTTTGTATATTGGTCCTATTGTTTTTTCTGTACTGAAACATTATATATCTTGGACTTTTTATACTATTGGTATGTGGCGTACCCTATATGAAGGTTATTTCAGAAACAGGTATTTTACGCACGAATATTAAGCCATTTTTGTTTTGTTTTAAATATGGTATTGCCAAAGAGGAATAACTCGAATGTTTCTTTTTCTATACGATTTAAATTCAGAAGTTGTCCGGATGCATTTGATTTTTTTTTTGCATATTATTAAGCAACAAAATAAAACGGCTGTTGTCCGTTGTTCCCTAGCGAATAGTTTACACATTGGCATTCATGCCAAATCTCCTTTGTTTTATAAGATGCTATCATTTGG